TGCAAGACTCACATCAGGTTAGAATCTTGATGTTGAAAGACACAATGAAAATGATCTAAGCCAATCTCTAATCCAATCTCTAATCCAATGCATAAATCCCTTTGATGAAGCTGTTCCCATTATCTATTACCGAGTAACAAACTCCCGGAACACATAATGGCTTAAAACAGCAACCATTTTATTTGCTTGTGGTTCTGTAGGTTAATAATTTGGGCAGGGCTTGGTGGGTGGCCCTTCTGCTCAACATGGTTACATCTGAGGTCAATCACTTCACTGGGGTCATTCCACAGGAAGAATCCAGGCTTCACTCACGTGTCTGGTGCCTTGCTGTCCTCCACATAGCCCCCTTCCCTCTGCCTGGCTTGCCCGGCTTTCCTTACAGACTGGTAGTCTAAGGCTGTAGAGCTTCTCACAGGGCAGCTTCCAAAAGGGAGCATTGCAAAAGGGGCAGAAGCTGCAAATCTCCTTTAGCCTGTCCTCAAAAGTTACACAATCATTTCTGTTGCCTTCTACAGATGAAGGCTAGGCACAAGGCCAGAGCCGACTCAAGGGAAGGGAAGTCAACCTACCTCTCAAAGAGAGACGTGACAAAGAATTTGCCGTCAGCCATATTTAATCCACCACAGCAACTTCTCAGATCTTGTTTCAACCCATGCTAAGACAGTTCCTGGGATGAAGAGTTCATCACAATACAAGGGCAGCCCATTTACAGAAAACACCCCAGCTCGTAAGCCTGGACCTTCCCACCCCCAAGTCCATGAGCTGACATTCCCGGCAGACACTGCCCTGATGAGGCCCACCCGGGCCTCGCAGGAGTTGCTTGCATGTCTGAGGCTCCTCAAAATGCAGACATACCAAATCAGGATTACTGTGAGTATTAAAGTTTAAATGTTCACATGCAGCAAATTAATTTTGAAAGCAAAAACAAACATAGCATTACCATAGCCTTCCTTGTAAATAACACCCAAAGCCTGCATGTGGGTCCCTTGGTGAAACTCATGGCTTTATTGAGCCCCCCATGAGCCCCAATATGGAGCACCCCACAATTTATCATCTCTGTCTCACTGAGGTTCTCAAGGAGATCATCAACCAGAAAATCTCTGGGAACTCAACCCCTCTGTAATCTCCTTGTGAACTGAGCCCCAGGACACCAGCTCCATGGAGCCACCTTCCCAGCATCTGGGGCTCAGCTCACCTCCGGAGAGGAGGGAGGCCAGAGATTAGAACAGGGGATTCTTGCTGTTAGAGATACATAGGAAGTATTGCTTGACTACTGGGTATTTACCCCAAAGATACAAAAGTAGGGATCTGAAGGGGCACATGCACCCCAATGTTTACAGCAGCAATGTCCGCAATAGCCAAACTGTGGAAAGAGCCTAGATGTCCATCAACAGATGAATGGATAAAGAAGATGTGGTATATATATATATATATACACAATGAAATATTATGCAGCCATCAAAAAAAGAAATCTTGCCATTTGCAACGACGTGGATGGAACTAGAGGGTATTACGCTAAGCGAAATAAGTCAATCAGAGAAACACAAGTATCATATGATCTCACTGATATGAGGAAATTGAGAACAAGACAGAGGATCAAAGGGAAAGGAAGGGAAAAATGAAACAAGACAAAACCAGAGAGGGAGACAAACCATAAGAGACTCTTAATCTCAGGAAACAAACTGAGGGTTGCTGGAGGGGAGGGGGGTGGCAGGGATGGGGTGGCTGGGTGATGGACACTGGGGAGGGTATGTGCTATGGTGAGTGCTATGAATTGTGTAAGACTGATGAATCACAGACCTGTACCCTTGAAACAAATAATACATTATATGTTAATTTAAAAAAAAGAGGAAGTATTGCTTGTCTTCTCTAGCAGACTTAAATAATTGTATGCAAAATCCAACGATATAAACCAAACATCTCTCCACTATGGGTTGATTGGATTTTTATACTGTTATGGAATTATTGTTCATTTCAACAGGTATGATAATGATTGTTGTGGCTCCAGAGCGAATGGTCCTCAGTCATGGGAGATGCACACTGAAGTACGTAGGGTTTGATCAGGAGTCAGCAAACTTAGGCTCCCAGGCTAGATCTGCCCTCTATTGTTTAAAATAAAGTCCTACGGGGGCACGTGGGTGGCTCAGTTAGGAATCTGCCTTTGGCTTAGGTCATGATCCCAGGGTCCTGGGATCCATCCCCTGCTTCTCCCTCTCCCTCTGCCCTTCCCGCTCTTGCCATCATTGTTTATTATATAATAAATATATTATTATATAATAATAATATTATATAATAATATATTATTATATAATAATAATATTATATAATATAGAAGAGCTTGCGCACTCTCTCTCTCTTTCTGTCAAATAAATTTTTAAAATCTTTAAAAAATAAAATAAAGTCTTATTAAAAGACAGCCACACCCATTTGCTTACATACTATCTGCAGCTGCTTTTGTGTTGCAATGGCCTGGTGAGTAGTTGTGACAGAGAGGGTGTGGCCGACAAAACCTAAAATATTAACTATCTGGACCTTTACAGAAAAGAGTTTGGTAAGCCCTGGGCTAGAGTATATGATATCTACAGCTTCCTTTCAAATTGCTTCGCAAAACAATTTCGCAGTAGCAACAGAAATATACATATGTATATATGTGTGTGTATGTATCCATGTGTGTACAGATAGATACAGATATAGAGGAGAGGACAAAAGAGACAATGCAAATGTGACAAGACATTAATAATTGGTGAATTTCAGGGGAGATTCTACGAGTCCTTTTTTCTTTCAATTTTGCTGTAAGTTTGAAATTACTTTAAAAAAAATGTTTGGAGAGTAAATATTGCTTCCCTTAAAAACTCAAGAGAATCTCCTAAATATATATATAGCTCAAGGGAAAATTAAATAAGATCAATAACAATATAAATATGTAACCAGCAATTGCATTAGGTTTTAAAGTAACAAGAACAATCTTATTCACAATCACAACAAAAAATATTAAACCTATGGTTTAACAAGAGAAGAGATGTGGAGCATTTAAGTAAAATAATAAATTTCACCAAAGTCCAAAAGATGGAAGCACAACATTATGTACAAGTTATTGTGAATGTTTGGGATTGGGTGGCCAGTGCATTTACAGGTGTTCAAAAACAAAAAACAAAAAAACAAAAAATAACAACAACATCAACAACATCAACAACAAATCACTTCACTAAAGACAAAAAGAAGCTTTGAGTAACCAGGAGAATATACCATATCCTGAGCAGGAAGACTGAATGATTTAGTATTGGAAAAAATGTCTATCCTCCACAAATACATCTGTAACATTGATGTAATTCCAATTAAAATCACTGTGTGGTTTTTTTGTTGTTGTTGTTTGGGGGAGGATAGTGACATAAAGATTCAAATGTATCTCAAGTAGAAAAAAAAATGGGTAAAATCAGCCAAGGGCATTTTGAAAATGAAGAGCAATGATAGGTTCATACCTTAGCAGATGTTAAAACTCATTTTAAAAGCTACGGTCATTAAATGAGCAAATCTGGCTCAGGAATAATCAAAGAAGAAAAAACCCATGAAGAGGTCCAAAAGTCTGTAAGAAGAATTGGGACAGCAGGTACAATGAGAGGGGAGAGGACAGATTATATAATAAACAATGATGGAACGATGTGCCCACCATGTGGAAGGAAAAAAAGTTATAGCCCTGTATCATACCACACTCCAAAGTGCAGGAAAATTAAGTACAAAGAAATAAAATCATGAACGATATAGAAAACAATGTAGATTAATATTAGTACAAGCTTGTGGCGGCACAGATCTTTCTTAGCATGAGACAAATCATTTTTTTAAAGCTTGATATAGTTGGCTAATAAAAATTTTAATCTTCTATACACCTGAAAGCACTATAACCAAAATTAAGAAAAAAAACAAACTGCGGGGCACCTGGGTGGCTCAGACAGTTGAGTGTCTGACTCTTGATTTTGGCTCAGGTCATGATCTCAGGGTCCTGAGATGGAGCCCTGCACTGGGCTCTGCGCTGGGTGTGGAGCCTGCTTAAGATTCTCTCTCTCCTTCTCTCTGCCCCTCCCCCTGCTCTTTCTCTCTCTCTCAAAAAAAAAGAAAAATCCTCTGAGATAAATATTTGCAACATAAATGATCGTAAGGGGCCACTATCCTCATTGTCTAATCATTATAGGAAAAAATATTATTAAAACGTTTAAATGTGCAAATGCCGTGAATATACAATTCATAAAATAATGTAATTGTTGGGATTCAGCATGGTTATTATTTTCTTCTTTTCATTTATATGTATTTTCTGAGTTTTCTACACCCCCCCCCAAAAAATGTATTATTCCTATAGAAAAAAATAAATTCAAAAATAGGGACAAGAAAAAAATTTTTCTTCAGGCAATCTAAGCTTCTTACCAGAGAGCAATAAAAAACTCCTTTACCAGTTCTGAACTTTCCCAGAATGAGTAGGTATGCAAGGTTCCCAACAACTCCCTTTCCAGGGCCAGAAAATGTGCATTTTTCATCTCCTTGAATCTTCCAAAAATCTCAAGTTGGGTGTTGTTATTACCCTAATATTATAAACAAGAAAGTGAAGGCTCAGAGAAGTTCAGCAAGCTTCCCAAGTTCACACAGGACCAAGCAGGAGAATTGGAACTGGATCCCAGGCTGGTCTGACCACAAACTCAGCACTTTCTGGGCCCCTTTTCAAGCCCCTTGGGTTGGGAGGCAGAAGGTCTGAGTTCTGATCCTGCCTCTGTCCCCTCCTGCACGATGTCCTCGGCAAGTCTCTCCCTCTGTCTAACACTTAGTTTCCTCATCTGTCCAATGAGAAGTGGATCGGCTCAAATGGGGTGTCACATTCCTCCCTGCTCAGACATTCAAGATTTCTGTTCTCATAAAGCACTCAGTACCAACCAATGGCCAAACCAGAGATGGAAGCCAGTAGCCTGGGAGCTAGCACTGGGGGCCGCACACGGATGCCCCATGCACTGGCTTACCTTGAACTCCTCACGGATGCGTTCCTCCAGGACCTTGGCAGCCTTCCGGTCCTCCATCTCCACTTTCCACTTCTCCGCCAGGATCCGGGCTTTCTCATTGGCCAGAGCATCCCGGAACTTCTTGGTGATTTCTGCCTCCTTCTGTCTCCTTGAAAGAGAACACCAGCAGGTATGAGCTCATGTAGGCACATAACAACAGGACTTCAAATAAATACCAGGAGCAATATTTCTTGGTCTATCAGAATGGAAAACATCTAAGAGCAGCAAAACTCAATGCTGGCAAAGGTGGGGGGGAAATAGTCACTGTCCTGTAGGGTAATGTAAATCAACCGAATTTTTCAGGAAGCCAGGAAAAAAAATAGACTCAGAAATCCTTTTTCTCGCTTAAGATCACAAAAGTGTAGGTAGAAGATGTTCATCAGAGGATTTTTATCATGTAACAATTGGCAAACAACCTAAATGTCCATTAACAGGACCAATAAGTTGGGTTTCTCATGTAATAGGATACCATATAGTAATCTTAAATAACATTGTGAATCTATATTAATCAATTTGTCTGAGAAAACTCAGAAAATACATATAAATGAAAAGAAGGTGTTGCCAAATGCTCACCGTGATTATCTTAGGTGGTGGGTGTTGAGTTGTTATAATTTTACAATTAAAATACTGTCATTAAAAGCTGGGTGGGAGGGAATGTTGGAGTCAACTTACATGGATTTCCAAGTTGGGCAAAAAAAAAAAAAAAAAGGTTAAAAGTTGTTTATGAAAGAAGTCTGACTCCAAATCTTACCGGGGGCTCAACTATCCACATTGTGTGTGAAATACAGCTAAAAGGAAGAGAAATGAGCAGACAATAGTGAATCCAAATTCCTTTATTGTCGCAGGGACAACTCAGTGAGGAATAAAGGAAATGCACGTCATCTGTATTATCTCAGTGAATCCAAACTATGTCCAGATGGAAAGGGCGTTATGCCCACACCACAGATGCAAAAACTGAGACCCCAGATCAGCTCACTACTCACTGGTGAAGCCAGGATTTGAACCCGCAAGATCTACCTGATGAAGAAGACTCTGATGCTTTGGTCACCTAATCTTAGCTGAGCTCAGCAGGGTCCGCCAGCTGCCTGGCACCTCCTCCCTCCCACCCACCAACTGTCGTCCTTCAGCTTGGACCCAGCCTAGGCTCTGTGTTCAGACCCCACCCAAGACCCATCTGCACCTCTCACCAGAGCTCCTCGGCCTCCCTCTGTGCCTGCAGCCTCGCCCTCTCTGCAATCAGCTCCTCAGAGATCTCTTCGTAGGGCTTGTCACCAGGACCTTCTCCCATGATCCAGACCCAGACTTCACCATCTGCCCCCAGGAGCCACCGGATGTGCTTGTCGCTTGCTGCCTCACAGCAGAAGGAGGAACAGGAAGGAAGAAGAAACACGTCTGAGTTCTAATTAGTCCAGGACGGGCTAGGTTGGCCAATGGTGCATCACGTTGTCTCTACAGAACATTGTCATCTACAGAAAGCATTCCAGAGAGATATCAGCCTGAGTGCAGGTCCACCTCCACCTCTCCTCCCACTCCCTCCAGGGAGCAACGCAGCTGCCAAGTCAGCCCATTGAAGCAGGTGCCCAAGGCTGGAATTGGTGTCGGCGGCCGAGCGCTACGGAGATGGACCGTCAGCAGACAGGACAGCAGGAGACAGTGCATCCGGCCTTCTCTCCCTCCCTCCTGTCCACTGGCTGCAAACAAGGAATTGGAGATAGTGTTCCAAGATACAGAGCCTAGGCCCCTGACCCGCATCTGCCTGTAACATGAGCAAGAAATAAACCTGTGCCGTATTAATCCACTGAGATTGCTCAGTTTGCCTGTTGCAACAGATTCCATTGATTACCAGGACGAAAATGGAAATCTGTGGGGCACCTGAGTGGCTCAGTCGTTAAGCATCTGCCTTCGGCTCAGGTCATGATCCCAGGGTCCTGAGATCGAGCCCCACATCGGGCTCCCTGCTCGGCAGGAAGCCTGCTTCTACTTCTCCCACTCCCCCTGCTTGTGTTCCCTCTCTCGCAGTGTCTCTCTCTGTCAAATAAATAAGTAAAATCTTTAAAAATAAATAAATAAATAAATATAAAATAAAATGGAAATCTACTCCCAAAGCAGGGTAGGGCCAGGACAGAAATAGCAGCTGTGGGTCGCTGCCTTAGCCAGGTGGCAGTCAGCTGCAGGCTGCATGAACGGCTACGGATCCATGTTAATACAAGAGCAAAACATCTGAGAAAACTGTCAGACGCTGTAACTGGAAAGGCAGACCCTCACGCCTTCCAGACCTGCCACTCTGCCACTCTAAGGCAAGAGACTGGAAAACAGAACATTCCTAGTGCCTGTTGTGTTCAGCAAGGTGTTAAGAGAAAAGAAATGAGTTCCAGGAAGAATTGAGTGCTTTGCAAGTAAAAATAAAAGGGAATAGAGAGAACACAGAAATCTGGGACTTTGTAGGACTGGAAAAAACCACCTCCTTCTAGGGCCCAAATTACAGGAGAGGGGATTTTTTTTTTAAAGTTTGCATGATAGAGCCCAATAGGACTTCTAAGGTGAAGAAATGACCTAAGGCACAGAACACCGTGGCTGCCATGAGAATGTGCTCCACCGACATCCAGCTGCAGGGGGCAGAACCGAGCAAGTCCTTCAGTTCCTGCGCTCCTGTGTTTGCCTGCCGCCATGCTTCCCAGAGGTGGCTCCCGGCCTTTGACTGACCATGGTGGGCCCACTCCTGGGGGACAGCAAACTCTTCGGATGGGCAACATCAATGACTTCTTGACTGCACAGCTTGGGCTGCATGGCTACCTAGAACACCTCCGCCCCCTACCAACCTCCCCCCTGCCTAGAATACCTCCTCCCCCACTTCCCTCCGCACTGCCCAGAACACCTCCGCCTCCCACGCCTCCTTCGCTCAAGGTCAGACTTGTGTTGCAACACAACGGCTCTCCCACACTCCTCCAGGGCTCTGCCCCTTTTCTCCCATGAGGAAAATTTTATTTCCTGAATAAAGCCCTTGTTTGTGTAACCCCATCCCTGTCTCCACTCCTCAGAGGAGTCAGGCTAACACAAGTGCATTAAGACTGCAATCTCTTGTGTTATTTTTCAAAGAGCCTGAGATAGATAGATGCCCGTCGGTTGAAAGGAGAGATATAGGGAAATAGAGGCAGAGAAGTACAGTCAACTCGCAAAATATGTCTAGAAAAGAAATTGTGGATGTGGTTACAGGTTCATGGAAGCAAACAGATCAGAAGCCTCCTAAGTTTTTGAGTCTGGACTAAAAAAAGCCTTTGATTGTTCAAGATGTCAGCCACCCTTGGATACCTAACCTCGATAAAGGAACAGGAGGCAGGTTTCAAAGGCTGTACTGGTCAGGAGGGCGTGGTCCTCAACGCTCACTTCAGAAAAGGCTAAGGGGAACAGTTTCATGAACTGGTGAAAAGGAATACTAGGAAACTCGGAAATTTTTAGAGGGAAATATAAAAGCACATCATTATAACTTTGGGGAAGGGAAGAA